TCCCTGCTTCCATAGGAAACTTGACCAACTTATCCACTCTCTACCTTTATCAAAATATGTTTTCTGGGTCTATACCTCAAGAGATAGGGATGCTTAAATCTCTCACTGACTTTGATTTGAGTGAAAGTAATTTCTCTGGTCCAATCCCTACTTCCATAGGAAACTTGACCAACTTATCCACTCTTTATCTCTATCAAAATATGTTTTATGGGATGATACCTCAAGAGATAGGGATGCTTAAATCTCTCACTGACTTTGTTTTGAGTGAAAATAATTTCTCTGGTCCAATCCCTACTTCCATAGGAAACTTGACCAACTTATCCACTCTTTATCTCTATCAAAATATGTTTTCTGGGATGATACCTCAAGAGATAGGGATGCTTAAATTTCTCACTTCCTTTGACTTGAGTCAAAATATATTCTCTGGTTCAATCCCTCCTTCAATCGGAAACATGACAAAGCTTATGGCGTTAAAACTTAACCATAATCGTTTGTTAGGGCCAATTCCTTCAACTCTCAACAATCTTACTCATTTGCAGTCATTACAATTAGGATATAACCATCTCAGTGGTCCATTACCTGAGAATGTATGCAAAGGTGGACAGCTCGCATATCTTTCGGTGATCAACAACAATCTGACGGGTCTTATCCCACCAAGATTGAAAAACTGCAAAAGTTTATACAGAGGAAGGCTTGAAGGAAACTACTTCACAGGAAATATATCAGAAGCTTTTGATGTGTATCCGAATTTAAGTTATATTGCATTAAGCAATAACAGATTTTATGGTGAACTTTCTCCAAAGTGGGGGCAATGCCATAATCTAACAAGCCTACAAATCTCCAATAACAACATTTCTGGAAAGATGCCGACTGAGTTGAGACATGCAACTCAGTTACAGGAACTCGATCTCTCTTCAAATCATCTTGTTGGTGAGATTCCCAAGGAATTAGGAGCATTGACATTGATGTTCCGTCTTCTGCTAAGTGGTAACCAACTTTCAGGCAAAATTCCACCAGAGATTGGAGTTCTTTCAAATCTACAACATCTTAACTTGGCATCAAACAATTTGAGTGGACCGATTCCTAATCAACTTGGAGACTGCTCAAAGTTATTGGACCTGAATTTGAGCAAGAATAAACTTGGAGAAAGCATTCCATTTTCAGTAAGCTAATAAATGGTCTTGAAAATCTAGATTTAAGTCAGAATTTACTTATTGGGGAGATACCGCAACAGCTTGCAAAATTACATTCCTTGGAAATATTGGACCTTTCTCACAATATGCTCAATGGTTCCATCCCAAATTCTTTTGATGATTTGAAAAGCTTGACAGTTGTGAATATATCTTACAATCAATTAGAAGGCCCTATTCCTGACATTAAGGCATTTCATGAGGCTTCATTCGATGCCTTAAGAAACAATAAAGGCCTATGTGGTAACGCCACTGGACTAATGCCTTGTGCTGTCACTGCCGCTAGCAACGGTCATAGAAAAAGCACCAAAGTCATCATTTTCATTGTGATTCCATTCTTTGGTCTTCTTTTTCTCTTTATCATGGTTGGAAGTATCCTTATTCTTTGCCAAAAAAACCGAACCAGAAAATCTGAGTCAATAGAGGCACAACTTGGAGAATTTTTCACATTGTGGGGATATAATGGAAGAATACTCTACGAGAACATTATTGAAGCCACTGACGATTTCAGCTCCAACAATTGCATTGGTTCAGGAGGCTATGGAACTATTTATAAAGCGGCGCTACCCATTGGTGAGGTGGTTGCTGTGAAGAAACTTCTCCAATCTGAAGATAGCATGACTTCGAACAACTTGAAAGCCTTTGAAAGCGAGATTCATGCTTTATCAGAAATAAGGCATCGTAACATTGTGAAGCTGTATGGCTTTTGTTCACATCCAAAGAACTCATTTTTGGTTTATGAGTTTGTAGAAAGGAGAAGTTTGAGAAAGGTGTTAAGCAACAAGGACGAGGCAATGGAGTTGGATTGGGAGAAGAGGCTAAATGTTGTAAAAGGAGTGGCCAATGCCTTGTCTTATATGCATCATGACCATTCACCACCTATAATTCATCGAGACATTTCCAGCAACAATGTTCTTCTGGATTTGGACTATGAGGCTCATGTTTCAGATTTTGGCACAGCCAGGCTTTTAGAGCCCGACTCTTTCAATTGGACCTCACTTGCTGGCACTTTCGGGTACATAGCTCCAGGTATTTATTAATATCCTTTTTTTTTAAATGCTTTAAACATGTCATCACTCAATTAAAAGTGTTAGTTTTGTGTGAAAATTGATGCGTTAAAACAAAGTACAAGAACCATTAAGATTGTAACTTTTCAAATTTAAGTATCAAATGTGTGATTAATTTTTGAAGTTTAACAATTAATTTTTTAATATTCAATATATCAAACTAATGAACTAAATATAAAATCTTATTTAAACCTCTGATTTCAATTTTCAAGTAATCTTCTAAACATTTGCAATTTCTTTTCAACCTTATTTTATAATTTTCTCAATATTCTTACATAATAGTGTATTTGATTAGATGTATGTATTACTTAATAGAGCACATTGATTAAAAATATTTCTTTAAGCAGAGTTGGCTTATACAATGAAAGTAGATGAGAGATGTGATGTTTATAGTTTTGGGGTGCTAACAATGGAAATACTTATGGGGATGTATCCTGGAGATTTGATTTCATGTTTGCCATCATCATCATCGGCACTAGCATCAACATCGACATCGATACCAAATGACAACCTAACTGATTTTACTTAAAGATGTGATAGACCATCGCCTATCACCACCAATAAGGCAAGTTGCAAAGGATGTTGTCTCTACTACAAAGCTAGCATTTGCATGCTTGAATGGCAGTCCCCAACTTCGGCCAACCATGCAACAAGTTGCTCAAGCCCTTACTCGTCAATCACTTCCATTGCCCAATCCTTTCTCAATCATAAAATTGGGAGAATTGTGGGATCATGAAGTCTGCAGTGGCTAATATTAGGGTGCTAACAATTTGAATAATAATTCTAAGCATGTTTATTTGCTTTCAATTTATTTCTTTTTCTCTTCTTTGTTTTGAAATGTTTAAGCACTTTAGTAATAAAGCTTTTGTAGTGAATCAGCTGTGATATAAAATAGCTACGTTTAAGCTTGTGATATGGAACAATTGTGTTTAGGCACTCAGTTTGTATGTTCAAGATTTCCTATTTTTTAAATGTAACTAATGACCAGACTTAGAATTTTGACATTCAATATTAGTTGTAATATTCTACTGTAGTACCGATTTGCTAGAGTACTTTCGCTTTGGAATGCTATAGCAATTCTAATATCACTTTTTTATTTGTTTGAACAAACAAAGAATGCAATTGGTGAACGCATCAAATTACAATAAACACAACTTCACACAATAATCTTTTGATTTTATTATTTACTCACCATTTATTCTTATACACACTCGTACTCATTATTTTTCACAATTTTATCTTTCTAACCTTTCATCATTCATTGTCTTTTAAATCATTCAAAATTTAATTGTAATTGTATTGAGTACACTTGAAACAGATTTGAGTGATGATTTTGAAGAATATACCTTTAACTTGTACCTTTTTTTTACTAAAATGTTAAAAATGTTGTACTTTTCTCAAATTTCTTGGTTAAACTTTTATCTATTTTTATCAAATTGAAAGCATAAAACATTGTTCTTATTTAATTAAGTCTTATTTTATCAGAAAACTACTAAAATTCATTATTTTTACTATATCAATGGTAATAACCATCTTTTTAAAATCAATTTTCGCATTACAAAATATAAAAATTTAAATTGAACTGTCGTTTACATAATATATAACAAATAGCTCATATAATAGGCCACGTTCGCATCAAATGAGCTTTTTTATTTTCAATATATGCTATGTAGATGTTGGCATCATAAAAAGAAATACGGCATCTATGTTGATTTGGCAAGAAGTAATGTTATTTTTTGCAATTTTCATCTAAGAAAAAGTGCTTAATGAAACAAAATTATACTCAGATTTAATTAGACAAAAATAAATTTTTTAAGGACTTAATTGGATATAATAGAAGGATGGAGGCTTATATGAAGAATTAATGTGATTGATGAGTCATTGATGACATTGAATTTCAAGTCTGCTAGTTAGTCTTCTATTCAAATTTTGAAAAAAATAATATTTGGTGATACGATAAGATAGTCTTTTACCCATGAAGAAAAGGAGAAGACTTGAGGATTTGAGTTCCAATAAACAATGTACCATTTGTTTGGAGGAGTTATTGGTTGGAGACGAAGTTGCCTCGATGCCTTGCAGGCATGTTTTCCATGATGATTGCATTGTTAGGGGTATTTTCAGAAATTTTGCAAACTTCTTTACAGTGTTTAAAATGATGAGATCATACAATAAATAATCTTGCTTTGATATAATTGTATAAAATCTTATGGCAATTGATGTACATTTTACTCAAAATTCTCAGAGTGTTGTCAATTATCTCTACATTAATTAGTCACACATCAGAATTGACATTCTTTGAAATATTGAATTTAGTTGTACAAATAATTTTTGGAAAATATGTATAGATATGGTGGTGGCAATTTTATGTGTCATTTTACCTCATATTGAATTATTAGAGTAAAAGAAAATTATTAAAATTTTGTTTATTGATTGCTATCCAAATTGAATTAACTAAATATAGAAAGAAGTTGATTGAGAAACAAAGTATGATCTTAGTAGCAGAAGTACCAAAACATGAGAAATAAAATGGATTCTATAGACAATTAACTAAAGCATAGCAATTACTTCCATTAATTCTTCTCTATAACAAATGTAGAAATGTGAAACCAATTTGATTTTGATTCTAAATAAATAAACATATTTACCTTCACTACTTTATATTCACTGCTCCATCCATTGAAACAAAAACCCTTCTGAAATGGAGAGCGAGACTTGACTAGGGGTGAGCAATTGTTCAGTTCGTTGATTCAAATCAGTTTTAAAAAACCAAAAACCGACTTAACCGAACCAAGTTATACAAAGCTAACATCATAAGTAAGCTCTAGAACTCAACATCTTTGTCCAATCGAATTTACAACAACTAGAATAGTTCAAGATCCAACACTCTTACTGTCAACTACTTCCTAAGAAAGCAGTAACAAGTACATCTGAATCATACAAAGATGAAACAAAAGTTATATTCAGGAAACTGGTCCTAAGTAGTCACCTTCCCAACTTACCAATGCCTGAAATTCCCTCTCTGCTTCCATCCACTTTGTTCCGATCACAATAAATCGGATGACAACATCCTTCTCAATCTTCGAGTGCTTATCATTCATGAAGATAGCATTCTCTCCAGGCACATAATGGTAGTCGGGCATTTTTACGTGAGACAGATAGATGCTCTAGATTGGTCCACACTTCAAGAAAACTCCATGTTTTAGTACCTTGTGTACAACTCCTTCCAAAATCTCTCCTCTGAACATCTTGAAGGTGATCCCACTGAAGACAACAGTGAAAAGCACATCCCCAGTGTTCTAGCACATCCCCAGTGTTCTAACTCTGCCCTCCTTAATGCTCTTCGGAGTTGTTACAGCCATAAAATATCCAAGATCCTTGGTGGCCTTCTAGCGAGCAAATTCATCCAAAAGGCAGACCACTATAGCCTTTTGGAGCATCAAGCCTTTGGCATCCAAGCTGTCAGTAGGAATTATGACATTTCATGGCAACTACACCTTGAGAAACATTTTGCAACCGCAATCAAAAGGGAAATGTAAAAAAAAAAAAAAAAAGGGTAATCCGCAATGAAACCAATGTCCTTAGAGTAACAAGAAACAGTCTATCAATCTTGAAGAATTAAAAAATAAACTTAGTCCTATCCCAATATCAAGTATGTTAAAGCCAAATTTCAACAATCCAAACAGAAAAGATTGAAAAAGATTAGTTTTTAACTAACTGAAAATTTACCAGATTGTAATGAAATATAACCCTACAATCCCCGTTTCACATGATCAGCAATGCTCAATTCCAGGAATATGGAGAGCAGCAAACACAGAATCAAAATAAAGCAATAATAAACAGATAGTACCAAAGGAAAACTATGGCATTTCCTTCAAGAACAGTCAAAAACTTTTCTATGATCTGATTCAATACAAGCCGGTCAAACAAAAT